ATATGTATATATATATGTATATATATATATATATAATTTAATAGATAATGCAGAATGAGAGGTAATTAAAGAGATAATTCAATTTCGATAAGATACAAATATCTTATCGAGGATGCAATTTCTTTTTCAGATACATTTTCGAAAAAATACACTTTAACTTTTCGCTTCTTGCAAAATGGTTTCGTTAGTGGCAAGCGTCAGAGCTACGAGCTCTCTTTATCATTTCTGCGCTTGTACCGCAAGGACATTGACTACGAGCGCGATGCCAAGTCCTAAGGACGAGGCGAAAGAAGTGATCGTCAGTTACTTGGATGGCAAAGACAATGGTATTGCTGTATTAGGATTAAACAGGCCTGCCGCTCGTAACTCTTTCGGAAAGACCTTGATTTCTCAGTTGAACGAAGCGCTGACCTCTATTAGGCAAAACAACAAGTTGAGAGTGCTGATAGTACGCAGCCTGGTCCCAAAAGTATTTTGCGCTGGGGCAGACTTGCGAGAGAGATTTAAAATGGACAATTCTGAGGTTCTGCGATTCGTGTCCTCGCTGAGAGAGCTTATGACCGACGTGGAGACCCTGCCAACACCGGTGATATCGGCCATCGACGGTACAGCATTGGGCGGAGGATTGGAGCTCGCGTTAGCCAGCGATATCAGGGTAGCTTCTTCCGAAGCGAAGATGGGCCTCGTCGAAACTAAATTAGCCATAATCCCTGGCGCCGGTGGAACGCAGAGACTTCCGAGGATAATCGGAGTAGCCAAGGCTAAAGAATTGATCTACACCGCACGGATTCTGGATGGTGAACAGGCGCTGCAAATCGGTCTCGTGAACGAAGTAGTTTCACAAAACAAGATCGGCGATGCAGCTTACCAAATGGCTCTTTCAATCGCGAGAGAAATTTTACCCAACGGCCCCATTGGTGTTAGGTAAGTCGTTTGATATTAATAAATTGTTGATAATTATTCAATATAATATTAGAAAAAAAGTCTCTCTACAAGTTGATAAAAGACTTTTTTAGCAACCCATATATTCTATTTTTTTTAAATTGACAATTACGCTTGATAGAGCAACATTTCAGCTTTAACAATCTGTATTTTTAATTGCGATACAATGATTTTTTACGTATAATTTTTAAGTTACGAGCAATAAAATCAGAATGTTTCTTTTTATTTAATTTGTAACTCGGGAACAAAAAATCGTAGGAACATTTTAACCATTCGAAAGTAACGATTTTACGCTTTAAAATCCTTTTTTTAAATTTTGATCATTTTTAATGAAAATATATATTGATGGGGAAAGATCTTTTTATCACACAACTTGTAAAAAGATTTTTTTTTCTAATCCAATATAAATTATAAAAAGAAATAAGGAGAACAAATAAAGTAAAATAAAAATACAAAATGAAAATATTAATTACATAAAAAAGGAACAATAGAATAAAATAAAGAAAAAATAATATAATTAGAAAAAGAATAGTTTTTTTTATAATATGCCAACCTGTAAATTATTATTATGATTTATAAGGAACAGGTATTTAAAGTTGCTTACTCAGAACCGTTGATACGATCACTCACGTATTATATAATACACATCACACCATATACGTTTATCTTCTTGTGCTTATCGAGCGCGAAGTATACGTATTTGTTTGAAGCTTGTATTCTATTTATAATTTCGATATTTACTGATATTTATTTATAAGAATTTTCAATCTTATGCTATATATATCATTTAGATTGGCGAAAGTAGCGATATCTAAAGGTATGGAGGTCTCTCAGGAAGACGGTATGGAGATCGAGGAACAATGCTATAGCAAGATTGTGAATACGAAGGATAGAATCGAAGGACTCGCCGCTTTCGCGGCGAAGCGCGTTCCTATCTACCAAGGAGCGTAAAAATTCGCGCCATAACAAGCACTTAATTCATAAATGGAGAACATTTTGTATGCGTTTTATATCGCAAACTACGTATTAACTCTGCTAAGTGATACGCACATGTATGTATATACATATATTAATTTTAATATATATATATATATATATATTCTTATTTTATAGAAATGCATTTACGCGCATTGTAAAACGGAAGTTACCTACAATGGTAAGAAATTAATACCAAAAGATTATGCAAATTGCAACAACAGCTGTTGCAGCATTAACCTTACTCGTTTGCATATGCTAATAAAATGCTTTTATACTTTGTTAGCAGCGGAAAAAAAACATTCTACGTCATACTGTTGTCTTCCAATGAATATCGTAACATTTTTTTCTTATTAATGTTATTACCGTTTAATTTATATGTTTAATGTACATATGGATGTGTAGATGTAATCGTGCGCGGTCGTGTACATGTATGCACAAGCTAATGAGAGTAGAATTGTTTCAAATAAAAAATAAACTATATCCATGTCAATAACGGTTTTATTTAACATTTACGACTTGTGTGTATATCAAGGTAGTAAAACTAGAAAAGAGCATATGTACAAATATATTTTTAAGTGTGCATGAAAACAGTTGTGCTTAGAATTAGTGCTGAAAAATTTTCCTTTGGAAACTACAGAGTTACAAATACTGCACTTCCACTGTTAGGAATGTAACAATGGATAAAAAATGAAAAATAAAAAATGGAACGAAACCAATCTATTGTACAATAACATATATATATATATATACTAATTAAAAATATAAATTTATCAATTTAGAAAAATACTATTATTAGGCCTTATTATACACATTGCAATGGAACATTGAGTTGCTCTTTCTCCCTGTTCTCTTTTATAAGAGTCATAAGGACATTCAATTGGTTCATGGTGTCCTTGGGACAAGTGACGCGGTGTCCTATGATATATATTTAAAATAATACGTTATTTTTGACATTAATTTATATGATATGGTAGAAATATACAAAATATTTCTAGTAATAAAATATAAACAATTAATATTTTAAAATAATGTAATAAAATTTATTATATTAATTTATTATATTAAAATTTTATATACTATGTAATCGATTTAATTAATTGTTATAAATAGAATTATTTCCATGTCACTTACCGATACTATAAGTTAGACCCAAATCGGGAAACTCCTTTTTCAGGACTTGTATAAATTTTTCTCGAATATGATGTTCATTGTCATATTCATAAAATTGTTCGCGTTCTTTCTTACTGCAATTTCGTCCTACTGGCGAAATGTTCAACATGCCTGTACGGAATTCGATAAATGTTCCACGCTTAAATGGCAGCTTTAGCTCGGATATATATCGCAAGGTGAAATTTATAAAATCCTGCAGAGAATCCTCCCCAAGTATATCTTGAATCATCTAAAATTTGATGTATGTTAAAAGAGAAGGTACATAATCTGTTGTTACCTTTTAATATTGTTTTATTACTTACTTGTGAAGGCAAAGCTTTGCCATTCTTGAAAGCGATAAGGCCATTTTCCGCAAAAACATACTTATACTTTTCAAAGAGATTTCCACTACCTAGCTGTTTTTGAATCTTGTTTAAATCAGAACCTCCGATTACTGCAATGTCAAACTCTTTCTTTACAGTTTCTAGGAGAAACTTTTCAAAGCTAGAACTTATTGGCTATAGAAAATAAAAATAAATATTTTTAATCAATAGGTAGATAAAGACACAGGATAAACATAATAGCACAGTAATATCTAAGAAGAAATTTAATATCAAAAGTAGGCTTTTTAGGTAGGTAAAATATATTACCTGCTGTGGTTCAGTGAGTGTACCATCCACGTCAAACAAACAAATAATTTTTTTCGACATGATGTAAAATCCTTATCTCTTTTAAGCACCCGTTTAAGTTTTCTGAAACACATTTTTTTTCATATACAGAGAATATTCATAATTAATATATATATAAATTGATTAAAATAAATAAACACATTTCACATAAAATAAGACGAACACGAGGATGCTTTAATTATTATGTTTTTAATCATTTAAATTTAATAATTATAGATTAATTTTTTTTTATTACAAATCTGTTTCGAGATGAAGATTATCGAAGACAAAGATATTTTAAATCACGTGCCGAATTAAAAAGTCAGATTAACAATTGTTTCATTTTTTCCACTTTACTTAGAAAATATAATTCGGAGTAATAAATTATATAAATCATTTTCAACCATAATTCATTCGATCTCAATTATATACATTTGTATTGTAACGAAGAACGTACTCACAGTAATTCAATTAATTAAATTTAAAGGATATGAAAAAAATTTGGAAGAAAAAATAGCGTAAAATCTATCCCAACGATGGAAACGCAATGACACTTTGTCCATGTAAATAGAATTGTTTTGGAAAGCGACTCGGAGTTTCCCGAGAAAACGCTGAAAATTTTGACGTATGTGATGCGATCAGCATGTTGCTCGATGACAAGAAGTTATGTTCGAAACAAAAATGCAACAAAATATAATATTAAAAAAATATATAAAATGAGGCATATGTGTGTGTGTATATACGTGGCCGGTCTGACGTGTCGGTATCGTCAGCACAGTGTTGCCAGATGTTGGAAAGTGTGTTTACCAATCAAATGGTAAAAAATGTACTAGATTCGGAGCGAATCTTTTTAAACGCGCGTCCCTTCAATTCGCATAACTTTGCACCCTCTGCTTTGTGTCGATGATATATTTGAAATGGAACGATGTACATTATATACATATATGTCATATATACATACACAATGGTATACAATGCGGAACATGTGCCGCCCGGCAAGACACGACGTGATAGATAAATCGACTTCTTATCATATACTGCTTATCGCGAAATAGAAAATTTTTGATCGCTCGTATTGGCAGTACTTGCATGTCCGTCACGTGTTCACGGGTGCATGCATCACGCACACACACACCACATACCACACACACGCATGCGTACTGTTCACCCAAAAGTGTATTCATACACGATGTTGTGGAACTGCTGTTTGAATAAGTTATGTTTTTTGGGTATTATCTTATCGCGATTACTTAACATAAATGGAAAAACTGATATAGCTAAAACTACTAACGTACTTCTGTTACTGGGTAATTTACATAAAGTACCTTTTTAATGCATGCTTCGTAAATGTAATCCGCGAATTTTACATTTACGATTTTTATCAAATAATTGATGAAATAAATTAATCGTAATACAATTTATATAAATTCAAATATCTTTTTTAAAAATATAAAAATTTTAAATA